CCCAAGAAAGGCGGTGGGTTACGACCAATCTTGGATCTGCGTGTCTTGAACCGGGCCCTTCACCAGTTACTGTTCAAGATGTTGACGCAGAAACGCATCTTCGGGTGCATCCATCCCCAAGATTGATTTGCAGCGATTGACCTGAAGGACACGTACTTTCATGTGTTGATCCTTCTGCACCACAGACCATTTCTGCGGTTCGCGTTCGAAGGACGTGCATACCAGTACAAGGTCCTGCCCTTCGGGCTGTCCCTGTCTCCCCGTGTCTTCACGAAAGTCGCGGAGGGGGCTCTTGTTCCCCTCAGAGAGCAGGGTGTTCGCATCCTCAACTATCTTGACGATTGGCTTATACTAGCACAGTCTCGTGATCAGTTGTGCGAGCACAGGGACCTGGTACTCTGGCACCTCAGCCAGTTGGGTCTTTGGGTCAACTGGGAAAAGAGCAAACTCTACCCGATGCGGAGGATCTCTTTTCTCGGTATGGAGTTGGATTCGGTCGAACAGACAGCACGCCTCACAGAGGAACGTGAACGGTCGGTGCTGAACTGCTTGAATTCATTCAAGGGCAGGACAGCGGTCCTACTGAAAAAATTTCAGAGGCTCCTTGGGCATATGGCAGCTGCAGCGGCAGTTACACCGCTGGGGCTGCTTCGTATGAGACCGCTTCAGCACTGGCCGAGTCCCGAGGTGGGCGTGGCAGCGCGGCACTCACCGGGTCCAAGTTACGTCGCCAAATCTTTACCCCGTGGTCAGACCTCGCATTTCTCTGGGCAGGAGTGCCCCTAGAACAGGTCTCCAGGCATGCTGTGGTTTACACGGATGCCTCCACCACCGGCTGGGGGGCCACGTACAATGGGCACGCAGTTTCAGGGATGTGGACGGGCCCCCAAATGCACTGGCATATCAATTGGCTAGAGTTGTTAGCAGTGCACCTTGCCTTGAACCGTCTCAAAGGGCGCTTACGAGGTAAGCACGTGCTGGTCCGAACGGACAGCGTGGCGACCGTTGCGTACATCAACCGACAAGGTGGTCTGCGCTCCCGTTGCATGTCGCAACTCGTCCGCCACCTCCTCCTTTGGAGTCGGAAGGTTCTGAGGTAGACACTTCGTCTGCTCAACCGTACAGCCGACGAGCTGTCTCGAGCTACGCTGCCGGGAGAAAGGAGACTCCATCCCCAGACAGTCCAGCTGATTTGGAGACGTTTCGGAGCCACTGAGGTAGACCTGTTTGCCTCTCCAGAAACCGTCTACTGCCAGTTGTTCTACTCCCTGACCGAGGGAACACTCGGCATGGACGCACTGGCACACAGCTGGCCGCGGGGCTTGCGCAAGTATGCGTTTCCCCCAGTGAGCCTTCTCGCACAGACACTGAAAAGTCAGGGAGGACAAGGAGCAGGTCCTGCTTGTGGCGCCCTACTGGCCCACTCGGACCT